AAAAAAAAAAATAAAAAAAAAAAAAATAAAAATATACCGACGAATTGAATACCTCCTTCTTTTGGGAAGTCGGTCAATAAACGACTAGCTGTTCCCGTGCGGCTTCATCCGCATGAAATGAAAATTTTATTTTATAATTAACATTTGTCAAATTATTAAAAGCAAATGTCAAAATGACATGAAATGACAAACCTTAGCAATCTTGCTCTCTTGATGTTGGCAGCAACTTATGGTCTCTTTCCTACATTAGGGTTTTTATCCAAAATATTTTCCCCTTAAGTTTATTGGCGTGAAAATATATAGCCTAAAGCGTGACGTAATTGTACGACTTTTTATTAAAAAAAAGGAATTCAAAAATATTCTGTAATTGCTGATTTCTTAGGCATACAAAGAAGTATGTGTGGATTTCATTATAAATATGGTAACTCAACAATCTTATTACGCGAGATCAAATTGATTAAGTTATAACTTTATTGAAATTCCGCAAAATTATCATCTATTCAAAATCTTTGGCGATTATCTAAAAACTCTTTTAACTTTATTCAAATGGAACATTTTACTACAAAATAAGGTTTACATCTCTATTTAATTGTTTAATATGTCGTTAAAAAGCAGTGTGTTGCATATTACTGAGTTCTGGTTACAAAACTTTAAAACGAGCATAACGCAATAATTACACATCAAAGAATTTTCTTCTTGTGATTCATTTATGACGTACAGAGTCCAGTGATCGGAGCCACGGCATCAGGCCACGTTATATCCGGTTCACATTATCATAACTAAAATTAAGACATAAATAACTTTAAGGCCACTAATGAAAAAAAAAGCCGTAACGTCGGACATAACGCGCCCGTCACGCTCCACACTCATTTTATAGCGTGTTGCATTAATGAATGACATCTTTTTTATTCAGTCGATTATACTTGCGCTTTGTTACTAATGTTATATATAAAAGAAATGGGACATGTTCGTGCATTAATACCGAATTAAGTTATAACTGTTTGTTAAAGATGTTATCCTGTTTTTATTTCAATAGCATTTGACGTAGTATGACGTCACAGGCGACAATTAGCAATATCGTCTGGTACTTCTACGTTTATGTATTATGTAATTGTAATCAGTATTACTTAAAGGACCAGCTTATACGCAGTTTTATTGAATTTTAGCCCCTTCGTTAGCGAGCGCCCACCCGCTGCGTTTTTATATGAACACTTATATTTATTTACATTCGGTTCATTTAACAGCACACTCGAGTGTTCTCGAGCCCTCGACTAACAACTGAACGCATCAAGAATTCACAACAATACTATGTTATGTATCAAAATTATTAACACTACGATTGTCAAACGGAATATTATCACAGTCCTTACTGTGATTATTTTACTTTTGCCTGTAAATAGAGCATTAAAAAGTGTTTAAAATTACTCTAGGAACTATTATAATTGTTAAGAAATAAGAACAACAATTATACATATATAGTATCAAAACATTGCAATTTAATGCATCAGAAATAAGAGCGTGACAATCTGTATACTCCTGATTTTAAGAGGAATTTTAACAAAAAGTGTAAGTCCAACAATTGTTAAAAAAATGAATATTTAAACCGTATAACCAGGTATTTATAGAATATACTTATACAATTCTCTTCTAAAAAGAATGTAGTAATTTCCCCTTAGAATCCGAGAGGGAGAAAAGCTATCGCAAAATCAATAACGGAAAAGCTCCATTCGGGATTGGAGGGCGTCGCGACGCCACGCCCGAATTTCAAAAATGGCCGCCGCTCCCGTCTCCCTTTCCACAACGATTTTCCCCATTCTTGATCTTATTATGAAGCCATTTCCCATCTAAGCTTTCTGCCAATAATTCTTACGTAGTGTATGTAATCCACAGTTACATTGCCTTTAGTAATTTCACTCAAAATATTTGAAAGTACTGGATTTTTGTGATTATCCCTTACCGTTTTAGATTACTACAGCATGGTTAGTTTATATTACGTCTTTAAATAAACTCTAAATTCCTAAACTCTGAGGTAACGCTCATGACTTACTGAGATTTTTTTGTATATCTAGTATCAATACTTTAATCCCTAAACTATAAATATCACGTGGATAGCGTACAAAGAAAGTGTAATAACATGGGTAATAACAATTACCTATATCTTAAAAAGAAAAAATACAAGTATTATAAAATTGCATCCTTGTGCGAGGTAATTATACGCGAGCCGGACGCCGGAACAATGCAAGCACGCGATCCAAGTTTTACGCCTGCCTTATGTCGCTATGCCTTTAAAATATAAGTAACAGGAATAATTGCTATCATTTTAACTTAAGGAATAATCGTTTTTGGCCTAGCCTTTAATTTTAAGTTTAAATGGATGTTAGAAGATACTTTTAGAATGGCTGCATGGATCTAGGTGAAAATAAATATAGTTAGATATAGAGCATTGGAAGGACATTATTTAAATTTTACACAGGCTATATCGCGGGCAAAAGCTCATCTCAATATATTTTTAAACGTGTTTCACTGATCATAAGTATAAAATCTGCTAGAAAGTTAAACATTGATCAATTGTCAATAGATTCTGATTTCATCCACAAGCTTTAAATAAAAAAGAATAATTACATTTAATTCAAGAATAAATAAAAATAGTGTTCCTCATAATATTCTTACCGTTGGTACAAATTATGTCTTTTATTGAATCGACAAATCGAAATGTCCATATTATGTAAAATATAGATAGTTTTAGAATGTTACTTCGTTACGTGGTAGTTGTTAGTCCAGGACGCTTATTATGATAATTATTGTGTCAGCATGTGCTCTGCTCCGCGCAACATGTGACCGATGGACACATTCGTACACCAGAGCGTGCCACCAACAACGATACGCTTTTTGTCTTATTTTTTTGTTTCAAATTCAGAGAAAGGTTCATTCATTATAAATGTAACGTTGCCCTTTTTTGTCAACAGGTACACATCGTATCTCGATTCATAATGAATGGTGTTTGCGTCCGATGGAGAGGATCGATCGATTTAGAGAAGCTTGAAGGGATCGGATGTTTGGAGCTTGATGAAGAGAGAGCGGCTATCGAGGATGCAGCTTTGAGAGACCAGATTGAACGTTATAACCAGAGGCTGAGGGACTTCGAAGACAAGCAACGCGCCTACCGCGAGCATGGGGAGGAGTTGCGCGCGCATTCTCACGTACATGCGCAGCGTTTCCACCAGTCACGACAACCACCCCACGGAGCCAACCCCACGCACCCCCACGCTGCACACCCTGTACACATTAAGCCCCATTCCCAAGGAGCTCTTATATCATAAACAGTGCCAAATTTGGGTACTTCATGGAGCCATAAGATTGTAAGATGTTTTCGTAGTTGTAACGACGTTGATGTCTTTATTAAGAAAGTTGCGATATTTCATCTCCTTGGTGTAAGCTATCGGTAAATAATTTTGTGTTAGCAATTGAAACTTATATAGTTAAGTCAATGATAATAACCAAATAGTCATGCCTAAGAAACAATACTTACGATCATTTTATAAACTCGGTTTTAAGATTCCAACGTAGTATTATCGCAATAAAATCACGCAAATACCATATAAGGTAGAGGTTTTCTGTCACATTTTAATTTTTTTCAAAATGTTCATGTAAAAAATTTCAATATTATACTAAGTTGTATTATATTTTGTAGAATGTGCAATAATAATTACATAAAATATATGCATTTATAAAAAAAAAGAAATTCAATAAAACTATTTCGCGTTCAACAATATCGGATATGCCAGAACTGCATTGGATTTTGGACTGACATAAAGTACCTACATTCGTGTGATATGTTTTTGCACAACCCTGATTGCTTATTATGCATTTGTTTAGTTGTAAGTTGTAATGTTTTTGATTTAATTCAAAGTACATGTTATTTATTTTTAAGCGGAAATTTAAGAGAATTACAACCCAATTATTGTGATAGATGTAAATAAATCTTTAGTTATTCCTTAACATTTGTGTTTTATTACGTTCTTGTTTATAGATGATTGTCAATTAGCTTTATTTCAACGAGAAACCAAAAAGATTTTTGGTTTATTCAAATGAACCAAAATTGATCTCAATTAGGGTTTATTTAAATAAAATTTTATAAAACCTTTTAAAACGTTTACAAAATCGTTTAAAAGTAAATTTTATTTTATATTGTGGGTAAGTAGTATTTTCCAGCTAGGCCAAAAATTACACGGGTTTTTACAAATTTGTTTGCACATTTAATTTACAAGTACTTGGCAACAATATCCATCGAGTGTTGTGAAGTGACTACATTTCCGTGGCACATCCTCACGCTATCGCAATTAGGGGCAATTAGCTGGCGTCACATGGCGGCCGGGCCGGGCTGCACGCGCGGCGCACCTGTAAGCGCTGCGCCCGCGCAACAACCCCTCTTTATTACACTCAATTTACCCAAACAACCGTTCACATTCACGCTCCGTCGATTTAGCGAACGAATAATTGATTGCTTTAAACACTCTGAATGCAATTTTATTAACATTTTAAATTCATGTACAAACAGATATATAGATTGGCCGGTGTTTTGTCTATATAATTAATCAATAAATTAACTGTGACATGGATACACAAATGATAGTTTGTTTGTATTTTATGTTCATTTTTTTAACAAAATTAACGTAGTTTATAAGTTCATTATATTATTTTGTAATTATTGACAGTTATATGGTTGTGTAATTAAGAGGTAACGTTGCATCAATCAAGTTATACAGGTATTTTTAACATTATATCGTTCATGTATATATTTAAAATGTATGACTTACAATATTATTTAATTACAAACGTAAACTTACAAAAAAATACACATATGTACATACCTAATAGTCGCCTGATTCTCGAAATTGTGATCATCACTTTTTAAGTCACGTCACAATATAATATATGATCTGTATCAAGTATCAAATATCAAAGTAAATAATCATAACATCTAAAAGTATCCAAATACTACTCAAGTGTCCAAACACATCCTTATTAACCATACAACAGCGACTACCTGAATTTTCCGCGGAACTGAGCATTAGATAGTCGATAAGTCCTTCTATCCGAATATCGATTTTATCTGGGCCCATATTGTGACACGCGGCACCTTGACCGCTCAAATTGAGCAGGTACCTGCATTATTGGAATTATTGGACATCGTATCCGATCGACATCCGCAAAAAACCATAGCTTGTACAAGTACAAGGCAAAATCAGGGAACGATATCCCGATCTCGTACACAATGAAGCCGTGATTTATCAGCTTCTTTTTGTGTAAAAAACGCAGGTCAGTGTAAAGGCGAAGCACCAAAAGGGCATTCAGAATAATCCGTCCGCGGACCGTGGGAACCTTATGCTTGTATGCTTCTTATGTAACAACTACATTACATTAACATTATGCGTAAAATAAAATTGACTTTATTTTATTTTTTTATAATTTCAACACACATGACAAAACTAAATAATTATTTTCCATGTTACATATTACTACTATTGAAGTATGCAACTGTCGTAATTATGTAAAGATTTATTTGCTTGAAATGTTTGTAACTTTCGTATATTCTAATGGTTTTCTTCAAATGGTTGGACACCAAATAATACGAATGTTTGTTATGTGGTATTTAAACATAAAGAGATGATTGTAGTAGTATAAAATCGACACCGATGTGAACGTCTCACAGTTCGTAGACTGTAGGGTTTCCCGACACGCGAGCCCCCAGATGCCCGCTCCTATTTCTTATATCGCACCTGAGTGACGATGAATGCGCATGCATGCGGCTTCCCAACCCAACAACTTTAATATTATATTATAGAAACACAAGTTTTAAATACATTAAGAAATAGAAGCCAACCACCTACTTGTTAGTAGATATTGAAAAAGGCCTATAGTCAGTATTGGATTGTATAATCGTTCTTAGTTAAGTCAAATTAAAAGGGTGCCCAATAATAGAACTCGATCGTAATACACGTATCTTCCACTCGTCTGTCTGGGACTTTATTTATACTAATTATGTGAAGTTGAAAGTCTAATTGAACTGTTTGTTTATCCAGACGGGTAATTACGTCGCTGCAGAGCATACATCAAAATGTTGGCGTTTTACTGCCGCGTCGGGACGCGCCCGCGGCACTTTGAAGACGAGAAGCGCCATCGCGACCATATGTTTCCTCGAATTAACGTCTGTTTTCATCGAAGAAAACAGCCGTCGTAAAACACATAGATCACTGCATAAAACTTTAATAACTGTTTGTTTGTAATAAAGTTCGGACGTCGGCTGCCAGACACAGGAATATTTGTTTGGAAGTGTAGAGGACGTGCTTTATTAACAAGCAAGAGCGAAAATACTGTTTTAGATTTACTGTTTAACCGTTTGTTAAAATCTGATATCATTTTATTACCTAATATGTAAATCGAAATAGATATGAAAATACTGTCTCTGTATATCCGAATCCGAACATGCCATTAACTTCATCAATTTTTATTTGTCGGCGACATTGCCACGTCGAGTCGATTGCAATTTTAATAACTAAGCTAGTGACTAGTGAAATCTCGTAATAGCAACTTTTTGTAATGATTGTTATCTTTTCTTTTTAATGTATTGAATAGTCTAATAATCTTCGCTAAGTTGATTTTTATTACATTTATTACACTAAAATTTTAAGATCTAATTAGAATCATAACTGATTGCTATGTTAGATAAGAAACGGGTATTTGGCACACGGGAAATTTAATAATATTAACTAAGCCAGGTACTCGTACGCTCGAAGAGAGCGAGGAACTAAGTGAATAGTGAGCGTGCCACGTGCGGGATAATCCTTCGTAATTGCCGGCCCTCCCGGATCATCCCGGGGATCATCAGGTGCTTATACGCAACGCTAACACACCCTCACAATTTTCTAACGAATAATATACATAGTATTTTAAATATAACACCTAAGAATTTTTTTTACTATAGGTTCAGTTCATAAGTGTGCATTAAAGTTTAGTTTATTATACTTACTAATTTTTACTTGAAAGAATAGAAAAAACGTACTGCAAAAGATATAACCCTTTTAAAAGAATAGAAAGGGGAAGAGGACTAGAAATGGCTTCGATTTCGATTGGTTTCAGTCATATTTACTTTAATAGAATCGACTAATAATCGAGATATCGATTTTTCAAATTCATATTTTGTATGACATTTTGGAATTCTTTTTAATCAGTTGTGATTAATTTACTACATTACGTTTTAATAACATTTAATTTCCTATTATTCGTAATATTTAAATATTTTTGTAATCTGTCTTGTTTAAATGCACTTTAGTACTATTTGTTTTCCTCTCATTATCTGTGGCACAAAATGTCGTAAACATTGTCATCTGTCAAACATTTACTCCTTGTATTTTTATTTTAACAACTTTTCCACAATCTGCTTATAGAACAAAGTGTTAAATTTAAATGAACGAAGTAATAAATAGTGGCGAGATGAAGGATTCATACTCCATTTATCACCAAGAGTACTTCATAATGGCAGAATAGTGAGTAAAGATACATTATTGCATTTTCATTGAAATACTGTAATGGTAGATACGTCTATACTATTCATCTCAACGTTTATATTAATTTGTGTATTGTTACCTATCCACAATATTGTTTTCTTTTTCGTAAAATGAATCACAGTAATAATGACTTAAGCAGCCAATGTGAACATAAAATAACCTGTATAAGTTTCACCCAGCTGTTTAACAAGAGCTACTTAAGATGTTGGTTGAATTTAGCAAGTTGCCTTAGGAGTTAGCCTTATTGTTATATTATATATTAGCAAGCAAGATAAATAAATGTAATTTAATGTTTCAGTCGCAAGTTGCAAACAGAAAATTTGCAAGGGATATATGTAATACCCTCATATGAAAATTCCCTATGTAAGTATATTTGTATTTTTAATACAATCCATCCACATTATTTATAAAAAATAATCTCCAAGAAATGCTATAAAACCTTCTATTTGCATTTAGATCCATTGCCCATTTTGTATATAAAGTAAATAAATGTTTTAAAACTCTTCATTATTTGTTGCAGTATGGTTTGGAGTGATATTTATAAGATCTGGTGTATATAAAGGTGGAGTGTTTCGCTTCACATTAACATTACCGGAAAAGTTTCCTAATGACGGTGTTCCTGTAAGTAAATATTATATATGTCTGCTGACTACAGGCTGGATTTTAAATCATTAAAATTTTTCATAAGACTAAAAATGTTTTAAACAATTCTCTGTTTCAAGGTTGTCACATTCACATCAAAACTATATCACCCTGCAGTAAATGCAACTACTGGAGTTCTCAACTTAAATGAAGTATTCCCTCAATGGGATAGACAGCAAAATCATATCTGGCAAATACTGAAATATTTACATTTGATATTTAACAACTTGAATTTTAAATCTCCAGCTAATATTGAAGCATCAGATGCGTAAGTAATTATTTTATGTAAATCCTTAACAGACTGTAGAGTCACTTTTATTTAGAGAAAAAATCATACATATTATTTCTAAAAAATTAGTAAAATGGCTTGTTGAGTAAACTAGATAAATAGCTAAAGAGATTGTCTACTTATTCACATTTGTTCTACTTTTCCCAAATGTTTGACAATGATCAAGTATGATTGAAGAAAATCTCAATCTGTTTTTTAATCTGCTGATATTTCAGTTTATCCACATAGATGTTTGTCCTTCAAATTAAAAATTAATAAACATGTCTTTGCAGGTTTAAGAACAATCGAAAAGTATTCCTGGAGAAAGTGAAAGAGTGTGTAATGTGTAGTATTGATCACATTTATGATGACCCTCCCGTTGATGACAAACATTACATTACCTTCAAGCCATATGATCCTGAACTTCATGAAACCGCAAAAAATGAAATGCTTAAGTTGTCAAAAACAAATGAGGGGTCACATGGAATATCCTGGGTGCAACCAGGATCCTTTCAATCATTTTCTAAAGAAACTACATAATCTTATATCTTCTTATTCAATACTAATTACTCAATTGTATAGCCACACTTTAGCCATAACAATACCTGTGATAAAATAACACAAAAATATATTTTAAACAAATTACAGATAAAAACAGAGAGTATTATGCATTTTACTTTTACAAATTAATGTTTAGTTCATTATCTAATTATCTAATAGATATAAATTGATACACTTATTATGTTAAATTATTGTTTTGTTTGCACCAGAATGTATTATGTTGTGTATGGAAATAAATACTATTAGCTGTGTTAATATTGTTCTTTGTACATATATTAAATGTTAACATTAATCTGGAATGGCTCTTAATTTTATCCTAAACCTATTTACATTTTCTTGTAGCCAATTCTGATCAAGCTTATAATTATTGTTTTGCCATGTAAAATGTGTTGGTGGATTTGATTCACCATTTCTAAATACAAAATATTTACTAAGTTCTATTGCTAGCTTAGATCTCACTAACCCAATTCCACCATATTTATCATCAGTTGGGTGATACACTCTTCCTGTTTCCGGCAGCATAAATATTTTGTCAGGCATAAACTTTGCTTTCAAAAGATCTCCTGCATATCCATAAGTAAGAAAGTGGTCATCACAAGCATTATCAGTGATTATATGTGTGTAAACAATGGGAACATCATCACACCTTATATAATTTCTCTCCCTGCCGCATAGAGATATAAAGGGAAAGTCGTTTTCATATCTACCAGTATTATTTAATCTGATTCGCTTAAAGAAGAACTCCAAAAACTTTTTCTCCTTGAAGCATGATGTAAAATTCTTCATTTTAGAGTCATCTAAAAATAGCTGAAAATAATTGGTAACATTTGTTGATCAAGGATTTTATTTTCATCAAATGGACAAAGTTCAATCCCTTACCATTCCTTGATGATCTATAAAATAAAAATATTCTCTAATTTTTGGTTCAGGTTCTTGTCCTTGAATGTAAGCGATATTTCGTCGTAGTAAAAAACGTTGGGAAAATTTTGCTAACACAGAATACATTGCGTTTAGTTGCATTTTGTTATTGAACTATAAAATAAATTGTAAACAAAGCCTAATGAAAAGATCCGAAATGTCAAATGTCTTGTCAATGAATTCAAATCATAACAAAGAAATGTCAGTGTCAAATAAGACAAATCGTGAAATTGACATAAACCAAAACAGCAAAAAACTAATAATAGATATTTAAAGTGTTGAAAATGTCCTGTATCGAATGATCTAGCAAAATGGTTATATTATTATTTTTATCAATTCGAAGCTGAATTATTCGAGCACCTTCCTTTTACAAAAATATTAAATTGGCTGTATGTTTAACCTCCTCCAATAGTTAGATCTGAAAAATATGCGCGTGACAGTTTGATGACAGAATGACAGATTAACAGCATACCAACTGGAAATCAACACAAAGATTTATTATAAAAATAAGTTTAATAATAACAATTTATACATGTAACTCCTTTTAATTAAATTGACTTTCGTGGTACTCGAATAAAATTTGCAGTATTTTTCCTAGCTATCATAACTTTTTACAACTTGTGGTATTTTAATTACACGTCTAGTCTAGTATTCTTTATATGGAATGTTTTAAACAAGAATGGACACCTTACGAAGATCATGGAAACTCCGTAAGTAACTAAGAATAATTTTTGTTTTTCACAAAGTGAAAATGTGACCTTTAAAGTTTTTATACAATTTCTAGAGGAGTTTGTCGCTCACAAGGCAAATGTCAACTGTTTGGCAATGGGACACAAATCAAATCAGGTTTTAGCTACTGGTGGAGATGACAAAAAAGTGAATCTTTGGGCTATTGGAAGACAAAGCTGTTTGATGGTTAGTTCTCATTTATTCCCTAGTAGATCCCAACTATATTGTATTCATTAAATGTTACAAAAGTAAAGGTTACATGTACCTAAAATGCTTCTTAGGTTACTACTGGTCATAAAACAGTCCTTAAAGTCCTCATACTAATATTCTATACAAGTAAAAGTATTTAAAAATACCCACAATCTTAAATTAACTAACATGTACTATTTTAGAGTTTAAGTGGTCACACAACACCAGTGGAATGTGTTTGCTTTGGTCATTCAGAAGATTTAGTCTGTGCTGGGTCACAAACAGGAGCCTTGAAAATATGGGATCTAGAAGCGGCAAAACTTATAAGAACTTTCACCGGTCATAAGGGAGCTATTAAATGTATGGATTTTCATCCATATGGAGATTACTTGACTACAGGCTCCTGTGATAGTAATATAAAATTATGGGATACAAGGAAGAGAGGATGTATAGTAACATATTCTAGCCACCGACTTGCAGTGAATAGTCTACAATTCAGCCCTGATGGCCAGTGGATTGCATCTGCTTGTGAAGATGGTAATACCTTCAATTATAATGCACATTTTATATATAGAAAGTAAGATAATAACATATGATTGTTATTCAAGCAATATTCTTGCTTATTACTTTAAAGTTAAGTTAATTAGGATTATAAGAGACAGTTGATCACAATTACTGTGTGATGTTTCAAGAAACATCCATCCATTCCATTGGGAATTATAACTGATTGTATGAATTTGATAGGCCTAATGGGAAAAAATGCAATTACTTATGTATTTCTTTCAGGTCTTGTGAAAGTATGGGATGTTCGTGTGGGCAAAGTTCTGCAAGAATTTGTTGAGCACACTTCCCCTGTAACATGTGTCAAGTTCCACCCACATGAGTTCCTATTGGCCAGTTGTGGCAGTGATAAGACTGTTAACTTTTGGGATATGGAGAAATTTCAATTGGTGTCTAAATTTGAAAAAGACAATACATCAATTAGGTAAATTGATCTTTTTTTTAATTATGACACATCTACTATATTTCTCTTGCTCTGTAAGATAATATATATTTTTCTTTATGTTTTAGACATATGACATTTAGTGATGATGGTGCAACCTTATTGGGTTGTGGCAATGATGGCTTGCATGTGATTGGCTGGGAGCCTGCTCGGGTATTGGATACAGTGTCTGGTCATTGGGGACAAATACATGATATGACAGTTGCTCAAACACAACTTGTAAGTTATAATATATTGTCATAAATATAGGTAAACAAGGAAGTATAGACTGGTGGCACAGATATTGATTGGTTGTAAAAGCTTCATGGAAATTACAAATGTCATAAATGGGGGGTGTTAGTGAGTTACCATAATTTAGTGTATGTTACCAGATTAAATAACTTTTCGGTCTCTATTTTTTATTCACATAATAAAACTGAGACAAACGCAGAATAACATTTGAATTGAATTTTATTTTTATTAGGTTACTAAATTAACAATATAAATTGTGACCACATATTTCAAAATACATTTCAGATAGCAGGATCTTTCCATGCAACATATGTGGTTCTATCAGTTGTTGATCTGAACAAAGTGCATCCATTTGGAGGGCCGGCCCCCACTGTCCCCACTGTGGTCAGAGATTTATCACCATTTCAAAAAGGACATTCTGTCCGTAAAAGTTTTTCCAAAGAAAAACCACCTAAAGAAGGTACAACTTTTTGACATTTAATTTTATTAGATACAATTAAAATGCCTCATTAATTAAATATGTATGTGTTTCAGTAATGCACAGACCAACGCTTCTCGATGAAAAAACAGCTGAAGAATCAGCATCAGGCACAGAAGCGGACGAGGACTCAGGTGCCGTTATATCAAATATTAATGATTACACTGAAATATTCCGACCCTCCAGGGCATGTGAGTAGATTAGAACATTGTTACTAGCCAACTTATAATGCTTGCTGTATAAATATTAACATTTAACAAACTTAATTCTAATGAACACTTGCATGAATATTGCTTATACAATTAAAACTTATAAACTACCCTTACTAACTACAACAGAAATAGTTTTATGATTTAATGAATGATTCAAATTTAATATTTGGATAGTCTCTGTGTTGTGTGAAGTTTAATTTTGTTTCCAGTGACACGAACACCGCCACCTGCGACCAGCTTATCATCTGATGATTATCCAGAACCAAGTAAAATATTGTTTATCAATATTGTCTATAATTTACTTTTGTGTGATTCAATTAATAATAATTGCTATTAAATTCATTATAATAGTGCCGGAATCATCTCGCAAATTGGAGTCTGCAATGAGCACGTCCTTGCGCGACCTGATGCTGGATGAGCCTGCGCCAACACACGCCCTTCACGCCACTCACGCCCCGGGCGTCCCGCACGGCCCTCACGCCCCTCACGCCCCGCCTGCACGCCCTCCACCGCAACCCTCGCCCCCGCAGCGCCAGCGCGCAGAGTACTCCCGCATACCCACACCCAAGGATCACTACGCAGCACTCGAAAAGAAAACTGAAGTGTTTAACAGTAAGTATAAATTTTAATATTGATACTCCTCAATTTCAGCCGCTGACACAACTCGAATGTTTAAAAAATGTATGGATTTTAAACCATGGTGAATGGTAATATGTACTACTTGATGTGTATTAAATGTTTGTATAGTAATTTATTAATTATCAAGTAGCTTAAAAATAAATAGTATGCTTTACTACCTATAGAAGTGTTTTTGGTTGTTATAAAAACATATATTTTTTTAATTCATTACATTATCATCTTTGTTATACCTAAACTGTATACCTTACTCCAGTTATTAGATGCAAAGAATGTTATTAATATTCTATTAGTAGTTTTTAATATTGAGACACTTTTCAATTTCTACCTGTATTGTATATATCGATGTTGATTTGACTATTTGGTTAGTAGTTGTTGAGGGAAATGGTGCAATTCTTTTTATTTCTTTTAATTTCATATTTAAATTTTCTTTTACCTTTCCAAAAAATGGGAATTTTTGTTATCATTTAAAGTTATACATATGACTTGTTTGTTTAGCAGGGCCAATGGATAACAGTAAAGATGACAACTTTTGTATGAGTAGGAAAACATCCACGGCCAATGAATTTGTTGCCCATTCCCTAACAGCGTGTTCACTAAACCGACATAACTCATACAAAGAAACCAAAACAACTACTGAGATGTGTAAGTCTAGATTTACACATTTTGATACTAGTTGTTTATTTTGTTATTTGTTATTGGCACTCATTTATTAAAAAGTAATTAAAAAATTGACCGACTTTCGTATGTTGCAGATTATAAAATGTTTCTTATTTATTTTATGTTATTAAAATAATAGATAAATGATTAAATTTCTTTACAGATAAATCAATACAAATACTGAATGACGAAATATTATAATTCATTGAAAAAAAAGTTTACGTTTATGGAACTAGAATATGTCTAGTTTTTTGGTATTTATTATGATGCAGCCAGTAATTACCGTTTTAGGTGGCAACACTCTCCGGCAGAGCACTAGCGAGGTGTCTCTGGGGCCTCCGTCTCTAGGACCCAGGTCCTTATCCTTCACCAGATCTCCTAACTCTAATACACGGTATTTATTGCACCATTAAAATGTAACTATATAATCTTCCTAATTTTACACAATTGAATAATTGTAACAACGTAATCAGACTGAGTATCAACTTCCGCCAAAATGGCGCGATATTCTAATAAAATTAAATGACATTGACAGATGTCACAGAATGTATATGCCAATAATGTAGTGTTGCGACAATCTTCCAGCGCTGTACTGCTTTTCTTCTTAACACTATTATGTAGTAATTATATATTTTGTGTGTTGCAGACGAAGGGTGGACAGTGTAAGTCGCGACCCCGTGCCGGCGCCTCGCAACGAAGACCCCGAGCGGGAGCCGGAGCCCGAGTTCATACCGTACGCCACTGACAGACCCGTGGGTTTGGATCTCGATGAATTTCTACCAGTGAGCATTTTTAATTAATTTAGCCTGTCATGTAGAGTTAAATAGCGTATTCAAAGATTATTTTCAATTGCAGACTTATTTTTTTATTTTTTTTTTAATAAAAAGACCCCTATATTTACGACAGTCTATAGGCTACAAATTTTCACGCTTTTCACTTAAGGGTGAATAAATTGGGCTAGAAAGGAACAAAAACTATAAGCCAATAATAGCAAGCCAAGATTGGTATGGTAACGGTAATTGTTATCCAATAGGATAGGCCTTCATTGTCATTTGTGTAATTGAATTTTGACATTTACAATTTTATACAATAAAATAAATTGATTATACAGTAGAACCTCGATAAGTTAAAGTCCAAGGGAATATTTGAAGTTATAGAGGTTTAGAGCTCTGATGGGAAGGTAACATATTATTTTTTGAGGTTGTAGAGGTTTTTAAGCTACCGAGATTTGAGTTATCGAGGAGGAGAAATGCATGTGTGTGTGCAGCGCGGGCTGGCGGCGTGCCTGGGGCGCGGCGGGGCGCGCGGCGGCGGCGCGCAGCCCAGCGAGCAGGAGGTGCTGGGCGTCATGATGCGCGGACACGACTCCATGATGGCCGTGCTCGTCGCCCGCCAGCGCGCGCACCAGGTGCTCCTGCTGCACCACGCATACCACCACCGCACACCACACCACACAAGGATAGCCAACCACTGGCACACACAATGTTTTGGCCACGTTAGATCATAAAAACATTAACTAAAGTATGCAGTAGATATTATATAAAAAGCAAACGCAGTGTCATTGCTATGCATCCTGCATGTATTAATCAGTCAAATTTATATGATGACGCGACTAAGACCGCATTAAACATTTGATTTTAAATGGAACTTTGATGCACAAAGGTTTGCCACCCCTGACCTATGAAATATAACAAATATGTATAACAACAGTAAGTGTAGTTGCAGTTGCAAATGGTAGTCATAGAATCCAGGACACAAGTGTGATTTATCTACGACTCACGACTTAATATTAAGTATTTGCTTCCAGATATTCCACTCTGTTAGAGTAAATAAGAGTCTGAAATCAGCTTTAGAATCGGTGATAGCGCTAGAGGACACGTCAGTCATTCTGGATATACTGAACGTGATGGCACACAAACCGTAAGCATCATATACGTAACAGTATAATAATTTAATTTGTGACTTGTTATTCAGTACATTATATATTTTTAGATCTCTATGGAATTTGGACATATGTTTGCTGATGTTGCCCAAAATTTATGACTTGCTGCAAAGTAAATATGAATCGTAAGTATTTTCATTATAACACTACGAAAGTTTGTATTTCTTATACATTTAAATAATTAGATCAATTGATCGTATGCATCGATTACCTTTTTTATCCTATTTGTTTCATAAATGATACACTAGCAACTTTTATCTGCGACTTCATGCGAAATTTAAAAAAAAAACTCAGTAAGCATCCTATATATTTCAGACTGTTATATATCATCCCAAAGATGTATGTAAACTTTCTCATTTATAACAATAGCAATAATCGTTGACCAGATACATGCAATGCGGCTGCAACGCGCTGCGGCTGATAGTGCGCAACTTCTCGTCGGTGGTGCGCGCCAACGTGGGCGCGCCGGTGCGCACGCTCGGCGTCGACATCCCGCGCGAGGAGCGCTACGCCAAGTGCGCGCAGATACACCGGCTGCTGCTCGACGTGCGCGCCTTCCTGCTCAAGCGCCAGACGCTGCAGGGCCGCCTCGGCGCCGCCTTCCGCGACCTCCACACCCTCATGCAGCAGGGCCTCGACTGACTGCACTATATCTCTCCCTCACCTTCACTCTCGCACTCTTTACTTATACTTTAATCCGTCACACGCAACGAACAATCGAATGTGTCATAGACACTCGTATAGTAGTAGCTATTCGGTAATGTTACTTAGTACATCGTACGTGTACTAGCCAAAACTAGTGCGGTTCACACCCCGCTACTACAATTGGTCAGTAGCTCGAAATAGACTGGCAATCAACTGGCAACTGGATTGACTTGAGTAAATTTTTGTTCAGACTCGTTTAGTTACTAAGCACTCAACTAAAATAATAGTGAAAACTAGACTTAATTAAAATTATTCCAAACCAAACCTCACCACCAGTATCACAATATATAAATATGCGATTCCAGTATAGCAAAGCGTGTCGTCACTAAAGACGCCATCACATGTCGTGTTTTCGCGGGCGAGAGATGATGGTTTTTTACTCTATGTTATCAATTTCTAATAGTATGATGATGGCCGTATATGGCAAGTAACAATTTTAACGAAACTAAGGTCCTTTTAAATAGGATATACTAATTTGTTTAACGATTCCTAATAAGTTAATTTATTTTTAAAATTTAATTCGATCATAATCATTCATTTATAGTGTGACTTAAAAGGAGTAAGTTTGGATTACGGATTTATATTTAGCGCGATTATAGCACACTTATATCCACGAATACGGTCGAATAAATGTTCCTTTTTGACCGACTTCCCAAAAGAAGAAGGTACTCAATTCGTGTTGTTTCAAAATGTCACCTATATGATTGAAATTTTTCTCCCCTACCAACACTGCCATCCACTTTTGATATAAGGATTTATCTGTTTATTTTTATGTATGTGAAATAAATTAGAAAAATTGTTACAAATGGCACAATAACATTTTTTTTATATTAATCTTTAACATTTTCTAATGTGTGTTTAATTTTGTTTGCACTAAACATTGTATGGATCATGTCTATTCGATGCATATCTTACTCCATCCTTCACTTTATATGTAAATAATTAAATTAATTCTTCCATTTATTTCTTAAGTATTCAATAAATATAGCATAACTAAAACCCTCAAATGGTATTAAAAATTGAAAAATGGTATCTCAATAACAAGACCACATTTTGGGTCCAAAATTAATTTATTTTCTAAGTTTGAATAAATATTGTGTTGTTGGTATACTTTTGTGGTTTAGTATTGAATAGTAATATGTTGTTTTTGATACAAAAGTTTCAATAAAGTACTTTTATCTTTGTTTTTGAAACCTATGTTATTTATCAAATATTTTTTTTATTCTTACAATGTTTCAGATGTACCACTTGACAAGTTCGTCAGTTTTCACTGAGAAAATCCTTTATTTTTAACGACATTGAGTCTGATGACTGGTTCATAATTACTTATAAAAAGCAATTTTGTTGACTAAAAACCATTTATTTGGCAAATTAACATAAACTAAATTCATTGAATGAAATTAATAAAATATTTGAGATTTCAAATCAACTGACAAATATTTTTAATATGAAAATCTAAAGTAAATTTTAACATAATAGATCTGATCACTCTAAAATGTTTGTAAGGTGTGAATATATATTATTGTTGTAAAATTATTATTGAATATCTGTTGTATGCAGAAAATATAACAAAAATCCGTGAATTACTTTGTTTCAATATAAAAATTAAAGTTTAGTTTGATGATTATGATTCTGTTTAAAATATGATTAAAAACCTTCATATAATTATCTAAATCTTACTATAAATCAAATAAATTATGCCTCTTGTAGGTTACTTAAGACAATTTGTGCCACTAACTCAAAATAAACACTGGCACAGAAGCTTGAATTCTTTACTGAAAATGCAATTTGGTTGTTTAAAATATTTATTTATGATGTTTATAAAGTATTCTTTGTTATACACACTATTGTGTTAACTTTTTTACACTATACACATTTTTAGTCATATATTAATACATAACACATTATATATTGTACAAAACCCACCAGTATCAGTTTACAAAATTAAACAATAGCATTTAATATGTACTTAAATAAAATTAAAGGAAATAAACAGTTTGATACAAACATGTTGTTTAAATGTATAACACTATGGTTTAAATACAACATACAACATTTGTTTATAACTAGCTTTCGCCTGTGACTCCGTCTGCGTAATTAAAAAAACAAAAGTCTATTTGTCCTTCCAGACTACATACTATGTCTGTGCCAAATTTCATCAAAAATCCATCCAGTTGTTTAGACTAACAAACATCCATCCATCCATCTAAACTAAACTTTCGCATTTATAATATTAGTATGCAGTATGATGGTTTATCCCATAATAGCAATGGCATGGATCTTTTACTTATGGTGCCTAATAAAAGTAATTTTTCAAATACGTTCCTTGAATTCAACTCATTACATGTTCTATTGCAATCCTATTTATGTTAAAAATGTATTTATATAAAATACCTATTTAAGTTTACTGTTTAAAGTGACTAAATCAAGTTTTACATTTTCAAGTGGAAGTGAAGTGCCTAAGTTCTTTGTGTTTAAGGCATGCAAGATATTTTATGCAATAAATTAATATTTTATATTACTGTCAAACAGGCGTTGCAACATGGGGCCCGTAGCATTTGAATACTGAGTGTAGCACTGATTTTATTTAAGCTTAAACATTAAAGTTATATGTACCTACATTCTTATTACCTTATTAAACTGAATAACTTTAGTTATCTCTAGGTAAGTACTAGCACTTTCACTCTTGAGACTTTCTCACAACTTGCTTGTACTTTAAGCTTGACTTCTCCTCACCATACAGAACAAGTATTTAAAAGAAATCTGACAATTATACCATGGCATAAAGTTTTGCCTTATACATTGCATTAAGCTTGGTGCTTACACAATTTACATCAAATTTCAGATTTATAATGTAAGTAACTTATACTTAATGTAAATTATCGATATCTTTGATGTTTTAATGAGTTTTTGGCTTTTTATGAAAAACATAATTAATATGTGTGGAGGTGTCACTTTTTCTTTTACGAAGTTTCTCAACATTTCGCAATAAGTCTTCATCTGAAACATCCTTTTGCATTCCGTCGTGACCTTTCTTACTTGCATTTTCCAGCTCCATTAACCGTTCAATCTCCGGGTTCATGCCTTTAAAAGATAATCTTCCTTCTAACAAATCTTCGCAGAATATAAAACTAGATTCAGATACGTAATTTCCGGTTGCACTTCTCATTTCATTAGTAATTATGTTTGAGTACAACTCTTCATGACCTTTTGTGTTTTCCAATTCCCTTTCTATCCTATCTTTAGAGCGCTTCATAAATTTCATATCCAACACAGATTTCGGTAACTGCAACTTTTTCATTTGCACTTTCGACATTGTAACTGCTTATCTATTATAACTTGGTAACTTTTGAAAAGGCTAAATAAGCTATTTACGTTATTTCAAATGCAAGCACCTAATCCCAAAACCGCACAGAAAAAGGAAAGCGATAAACACCAAAATAAAATACCATTCGACAAATACACATGGAATAAATGTCAACAATAAGTTTATGTCACTTTGGTTTGACAGTTATGACAGACAGTCATTTTGCCAAAATATATCAAATGATGAGAAATACAGATTTGGTGTCAAGTCTACAATAATATTTGCTTTTGAGTTTAAAAATGAATGTAAAAATTGTATTATAGAAAAGTACAATTTTTATTTTATTTTCAAGGATGCGGACTTTAATTTTTCTGCCTCTGGCTGCTTGTATGTGGCAGCAGTTGCCTAATGTTTACTATCTCTCTTTCATATATCAGTGTCATTTCGCTGTCAATGTCAATATCATGCTTGTTTTCCTTGTGCTTGTAATTTGGTAACGTTAACATTTACATAAAATGTGTATGTATTGGACACTTTAACTCTTTGTAAAGTTCAGTTTAATGTACTGTAGAACTAAATATTAAAAACAAACAATGCAAGTGTCTGAAATTGATAATGTAAAAATTTATAACCTCAGCGCGGGGAAATCTTTACCGGACGTAAGTTTTACTTTGTCTTTTCATAATTAAAGCCTTTTAAACCAATTTGCAAATACTGTTCAATTAATCTCTTTAACCCTTGAGTAATAGTAAATTTTTTTTTGCTAGTATAATATCGAGTTTACTATTTCTTTCAGTGGTTATCAGAAAGAAAAAAGAGGGCAATACTTAAGAAAAATGTTGATCTCAGAAGAAGAATTGAGCTTATTCAAGAGTTTGATATGCCAGGCGTCAGCACAAGCATTAGGGCATCTGCAGACGGACAGTATATAATGGCAACTGGCATATATAAACCAAGAATTAAATGTTACGATGTAAATAATTTATCACTAAAATTTGAGAGATGCTTGGACTCTGAAGTTGTTACATTTGAAATACTAAGTGAAGATTATACAAAGGTAGGAGTTTATTACATTATAGTACCATACTAAAGATTATGTACCTTATAGCACAGTAAAATACTTTTATACCAAAAAGTTTTAATCATCTGTGATAAATAGGAATATTACACAAGATTGACATTTGAATATAAATATTATATTCCATGGTAATTATGGCTTTAACCTTAATGTACTATAAAATCCTGTTTTCAGATTGTGTTTCTACAATGTGACAGATATGTTGAGTTTCATGTTGGACATGGCAGGCACTATCGGCTGAGAGTACCACATTTTGGAAGAGATATAGCTTACCATAAGCCTTCATGTGATCTCTTTGTTGTAGGAGCTTCCAATGTAAGTTGCAATACTACAAGATTAAAGACAGACAGATAATAATGCAACAGTATGATATGAAAAAATCCAAATGTCTTCATAGAGAATATATTTCTGTATAATAGTTCTACACAAGATTTTAGTTAAAATTTCGTCATCATTTAGTTAAATGTTACCTTCAGACAACTTATATATCCAAGCAATACTAATTTTTGTTACACTTTTTTATTATATACTTTTTCTTCCAGGAAGTATACAGGTTAAATTTGGAAGTAGGACAATTTATGGCTCCGTATGCAACTAAAGCAAATGAAATAAACACATGTGCAGTGAATGAGGAGCATGGTTTACTTGTGATAGGGACAGACAGTGGCCAGGTGGAGGCGTGGGACCCTAGAACAAAGTCATGTCAAGGATTGTTAGACTGTGCGTTACATTGCTCTGATGCTGCCAATACGTAAGTTCTAAATAAACTTTGATTTCTTGTATTTATCAGAAAAGAAAATGTTTAAGAATTTCAACTTAAATAAAAGGGCCTCAAGATTAACACGTATTTTTTAAAGAATTCTAATATACACTTTAAAAATGTTCTATTATTTTTCCAGTTTACCTGCGATAACAAAATTGAAATTCAGTGGTGCTTTACAACTAGGTGTTGGGTCATCTTCGGGACATGTGCTACTGTACGACATCAGGTCGAGCAAGCCACTGCTCGTAAAGGATCACATGAATGAAATACCCATCAAGAATATTGAGTTCCACAAACAAATGAACTATGTTTACTCTATGGATTCGTTAGTTTTGAAAATATGGGACGCCAATACTGTAAGTAAAAAGAGTGAATTAAAATACTACATTTGAATGAACAGAAACATTCCATAAAGATCCCTCTACAAACTTCAGTTTTGTAATATCAAAGCATCTTAAAACTTATGACTTTGACTCAACTATTTTTACTTTTTCAATATGAAAGAAATATTATTCGCTAGGTATACTGAATGTTTTATATATTTTTTTAAACTTACTGTGTCTCGCTAATTTATCCGCGATATTTAAAAATACTAATAAAACAGGCCATATTGAAGGGATAAAGCAGCTTTTAAATGACAAAAGAATTTAAACTCGGTACAGTAGTTTTTAAGTGAATTCAATACATACATAAATAAGGATTTGTCCTCTTTATATTAGTATAGATTCAGCCTGATTGAATCGAAGTTCATAATATTGTAATGTATTTGTTGCAGGGTAAACAATACACAAATATAGAAGCCTCAGCAGATTTTAATGACCTCTGTATAATTCCGAATACTGGCTTATGTATGATGGCGGTAGAAGATCCAAAAATGCAGATATATTATGTACCATCACTGGGTATGTATGAATAAATGTTAAAAAGATTGTACTAAAAATTGCAACTACATAATGCAACTAGCTTTCGCCCGCGACTCCGTTCGCGTGGAAGTAAAAAAACAAAAGTGATTAGCCTATATGTTTTCCAGACTATCCTCTACATCATTGCCAAATTTCATCGAGATCCATTCAGCCGTTTAGGCTACAAACTATAACATCCATCCACACTTCCATCTAAACTTTCGCATTTATATTATTAGTATGATAATAGTGTGACTTATTCAAATACTTTCAATAAAACTGTGAATTGTGCTTTAATCTAGATAAAATCAATATATTATAAATTAAATATTGCTTTAAAGTATATGTGTAATAACTTCTTTTGTTTGTAACAGGACCAGCTCCGAAGTGGTGTTCATTCTTAGACAATTTGACAGAAGAACTAGAAAGTTCTGCAGTACAGACTGTGTACGATGATTACAAATTCATCACCAAGCAAGAGTTGGAGTCATTGGGTTTGGATCATCTTTTGGGTACAAACTTACTGAGAGCATACATGCATGGGTAAGTTGAATATTAAAAAAAAGATTTCTTCATCTTATTTATTTAAATTTAGTTTAACATCATAGTTACATGATTTTACATAGTTTTCTTTCTTACAATAACTTATAATGATTTATTTTTCAAATAAAAATCTGATTAACATTTTAAAGTAATGTCTTTTAACAAAATTAGATCTTCATATAGATTATAATCTCTTATGTTTTACTATAATTAAAATGTATATGTTTTCTTCATTTTGATGCAACTTGCACATATCGGCGAAGAAATTCAAAGATATGTATGAAGTCAACCCGCAGTGGGCCAGCGTGGTTGACTAAGACCTAGTCACACTTAGTCCGAGCCTCAGTGGGTACGTATAGTGAGCTGGTGATGATGTTTTCTAGATATTTCGTGGATGCACGACTGTATAAGAGAGCTAAGACGATAGCGGATCCGTTTGCGTTCGAAGCATACAAGAAACGTAAGATACGAGAGAAGATCGAGGAGGAGCGGCCCGCGCGCCTCACCGTGCACGACAGCCTGCCCGCCGTCAACAGGGACCTCGCCTCGCGCCTGCAGAACGTCACCAAAAAGAATAAACAATCAAACAATTTACTTAAAGACGATCGTTTTAAGGTAAGAATAGCTGAATGAAAAATTAAAATGAAAATTTTACTTATTTTTTTAAGTAATAATATTGATTACATTATCTTAAAATTTATTTCTTAATTTTAATCGCTACTTTTTTAAAGTGTTGTCACCCTCACACCCTCACAAGTGAGTTATGAGATTTATTCTGCTTTAACATTTTTTTAGATACATTTTTACGTCCAGACTATCCTCTATTACGAATTCGAATATATGCTTCGTAAATTAAAAAAACAGTAGGTACTTTCACATGTTTTATACTGATGTAATTTTTTACAGGAACTGTTTGAGAATCCCGATTTTGAAGTTGATAAGGAAGCTGATGAATACCGTTTACTGAACCCCGTCCTCTCCAGACTGGATAGAAAGAATACAAAGAATGTGAAGCAAGTCATGGATGTAGAAGTAAGTTATTTAATTTTAGTTATTCTTTAAAAACAACGCAAACCAAGTTCATAATAATTTTTTCTATATATTACATACAGATTTTCCTTTTTTTTATGTATGGACAAGTCGAAATGGCTTTGGCATCTTATTCTAGAAGAAAAAGATTTTATAAACATACTAGCTTTCGCCCGCGACACCGTCCGCGTGAAATAAAAAGAACAAAAGCGAATAGCCTATGTGTTCTTCCAGACTATCCTCTACATCTATGCCAAATTTAATCGAGATCCGTTCAGCAATATAGACTATAAACTCTAACAAACATCTATAAATCCATCCATCCAAACTTGCGCATTTATATTACTATGATTTGTTAGTATTTATTTTATAACGATATTTCCAGGTTGAAACTGTGGAAGAAGAAAAAGACTCAGATATCGAATTGTATGAATCGAGCGAAGAAAGTTCAGACGATGAGAGAACTTGGGCTAAAGATATGAAGAAACAGCACAAACTTATAAGAAATAAAAAGCAGGAGGAAGAAAGGGACGAAGAAAGAAACGAAAAGGTCTATGAATTTAGTAATGCCCCTAAGCTCACTAATATTAGGAGTATCACTAGAGTTAGTAAGAGCAGTTTAGGAGATCGACTATCAAAGGAAGGTTTCACGACAATGGTAACTGGGACAGGCGGAAATAAAGAAATGAAATTCTCAATGCGAGGTAAAAAGAATGTATCCGACAATCAAAAATCAATGAAAAAACACTATGAAGAAAGAAAACAACTCGTCAGAAGAACAGGATTTTTATCTAAAAAGAAACTCCCCAGAAAGTGAAACGATTTTAATTAAATTTGTTAATTTTATACGACGTTTTTTTTAACTCTTGAATGTAATTCTTCACTAAGTTCCTAACTATAGTTAATAAGCAGAAATTCTTGATGCGATTTACTTAATAATCTGAAAAAATCTGTACAAAACATTGTATACGATTTTTTAAGAAAAGTTATCTAATAGCAGTTAACAAAAAGCGTTTTCTTGATTAAATGCAACATCTGTCAATTTACTCCCTATGTTTATCAAATATTTTTTTTACTTGTTGCAAGATCGTATCATAAATAGTTTAATTTCTTTAGAAATTAAAAACGTACTTAATAACTACATATTTTAAAGATTTTTTTACAGAATAATTACATTGAATCTCTGTCCATACAAAAGTGCCTTGTGAAAGTTTTTTTTATCGGTATGAAATAAGGTTATCTGAGTTCAGCGTATATTATGATAATGAACCATTGGACGTTTTGTTTTCTTACTGAGACAACTTTCCTATTGGTCACAATTATACATTTTAATTGTATTAAGTAGGTATTTATATTATAAATAAATTAAATATTACGTTTTTTTTTACGAAAGGAAATTCACAAAAAAATTATTCGACGTTTTATCTGTCTAAAGGATTTCCACACAGTCTTATTTTGAGAGTATCACCATATACATTTCTAATTAAAACTAGCGAAAACATACATTTTTGAACACATTTATCTATATTTATATAACATGACTCACAAAATTAAATAACAGCAAGTTGATATCTCTATTTTTATTAATTTATGCAGCTACGTAATAAACAATTTGTCTCAAACAAAGACGGTTATTTACCTCTGCCTCGTTACTGCAGCAACTTTCATTACAAGCATGCGTTTACATACAGTGCATTGTTATTTATTTAAAGGTTTGGTCGTCATACTAGAATTTCTAATTAGCATGAACAAACTAGAGGGTACTTGTAAATTTATTATTCAACAATCTCGCAAGGTGATTTGTTACTAGAATTTAGTGTGTAGAAGATAATGCAAAACGACAATGGCTCCTACGGAAGCGGTAAGTAACATTGTTCACGTACAGAAATGTTCGTGGAATAGAGACTAACGACTAGTTATCATTCGTATAATATGGGTAATAGTAATTAATATGTAGATATTGGCAATTAAGTGGATAATGTGAGTTTGTTTTCGCGATTGTGCAGCCAGTGATCTGCTGGACAGCCATGTGCTGGACAACGAGAAGCTGCGCTGCGCGCCCGCCATGGAGACCTCACGGCGGTCGAGTCTCGGCGCCAATAGTGTTGAGGTCAGTTGCACTAATTACTTGATATGACATGTTATGGTTATCTATCGCTTTTGACTTATAAAAATATGTTAGTTTGTATTACATGTTATCAGCAGAATACCGAAGTTCAACAATCGAATTATTTTTATGCATGCATATTTGATAGAATTTTTTATTCAATGGAACCACACCATTTAAAGATGCGTAAAATTATAAGTTAATTATTGCGCCACGGTTTTCTATTTTTTTTTGACGTGCTTTTTGCATGGTTTTGAATGTGAAGATAATTTTTTCTAAAGGTGTACAGTTTTCTTTTGAAAAGGCACATGATTCTAATGTGAAATATTTCAAGCACATCCTCAAAACCGCATCTACGATGCTATTGATATTGAGGAATGTTTTGTTTAACAGATTGGAGAAATAACTGAATCACCCGACACGGAATACATGAGTACATCCGCTATATTACATTACTGCAAATCTAAGGTAAAAAATTCGCGATGTTTTATACAAAATACATGAAGAATAATACATTTTTTTCATACGAATTATCTGTTCTAATTCCAGATATTAGTACCGTATTTGAAGCTATTAACAATAATGGGTCTGAGGCCCGTCGTAGACGCTTCCAACTCCTCCAAATATGCAATATGTTTTTCGCATTATCATTCTGCACAAGTAGCAGTGTTGATGTTTTTAGGGTATATTTTACAATATATGGCTTGCTTCAGGTAAATAGTATTTGTCTCCAGATTATAAAACTGTTAAAATGCAAGGCTGGGAAATATGTTGATTATCCTCCTGTTATTAATCTCATTAGAATTTGAAAGTAACTGAAATCTAACAATGTTGTTTTTAGACGTGACAGAGGATTTTGTTACAAATTAGTGCCTCTAGCGATGACGTCTTCTTTAGAATACGATACATATAAACAAATATGTTACGGAAATGTTACTTTAACGTACATCGGGCCAAGTATTCTACATTTCATAGGTTTTCTGTACGCTCTATATTTGTTTAGAATATCAGATAACGAACAGTTACAAAACCTTATGGAAAGGGTGAGTAATATTTAAACACTCTTAACATGTAGCTTGTAATATACATTTAAATAAAACTACTCGAAAACTTTAAAATAATTCCTAACGAAAACAATTTTCATTATTTAGTTTACCTGCCAAATGCTAGATTATTGCCATGATTTACATAGTTCCCAAGTTTCTTGTCTTTGATTCTTGCTGTCTAATTCGTCGTTCGACTCTTTGGTCTGTTAATGGTCACCAAGAGGCTTTTTAGTGCAGATTTAGAACCTAAAAGTAAGCTACCGAGGGACTGTTTTAGTTATAAAGAAGACAAAGCAATGTGTTGCTAGACTTTAAAATGAAAATACGCGTTATTTTCAGGTATTCCTTCTATCCTCGTACGCGCCGCAAGGCAGCGCCACAGCGAACCCTAAGCGTTTGCTGCGTATGTTGTGGTTCTTTATAATACTGAGTATTATCTGGATGTGCATCTCTCTGTGTTCAGTCAACTTGATGCTGGCTAGAGGAACAATCATGTTTAGATGGATGGAAAATAGGTATTCTTGTTAAGTTGATTAAAATGGATGATGCGCGGTGTTTCTTTTTAGTGAATAGCAGATTTTTTCTTATTTGTAATAACCATTCCAATTATTTATAGTCTTATGTTAGGATATGGTTCCATACAAAAGTTTAATTGCGGGATTCGAACCCACGGCCTCTAGATTCATAATCCATAGTTTTAACCGTTAGGCTATAACCGCTTCTTTAGCTTTAAAATCGATTGATTATTCCTATCATTTTAATATAGATATGTTTTTTTTTAAATTCTTAGTTCTAATGAGATGAGATTGGCGTTGAAAGTGCTGTTGATAATCTGCACGTTGATCCACGACATGGTGCAGGCGACGGTGATCACGAGCTACTGCCTGCAAGCGCAGCTGCTGCAGGCACACCTTCTGTTCCTGCGGGAGCGCCTGCTCAACAGGACCATTACGCCGTTGAACTGGATGAGGGTGAGATAATAAAAACAAATGATATTTTATCATCACCAGCTCACTATACGTCCCCACTGAGGGGCTCGGGGCCAACCCTAAGTTGGGTGTGACTAGTCCATAGTCAATAACGCTGGCCCACTGGTTATATACCTTTAAATTCCTCCGCCGCTATGTACCGGTTGCATGACGATGTTGTCCTTCACCGTAAGAACTACGGGTAATTTAAGTGCATCTGAATTTCGAAAAAATCGAAAATCACATTGGTACATGGCGGGATTCGTACCTGTAGATTACAAGTCAAGTGTTTAAACCACTGAGCCACCGAAGTTCTCGACGATGGTCGATATGATATTTAGCATGGAAAGTATAGTCCTGAATGTCCTGCATGTAACTTTAAGTTATTTGCACATGTCTGTTGGCCGCTGTCACTTAACTGTTTAAGCAAAATAAGGTGTCCGCTTGCTTGTTTTTCAACTTCTTCTATATTAAAAACTGTGTTCTTATATCATATTTATTGCTGTATGCAAAGCAGCTAGTTTTGAGACTTTTCAAGTTTAAATGTGAAATATTTGTGCGATATTGGACCAAAATTGCGTATTCGTCTAAAAACGTATCTTTTGAAACACAAAGTTTGTAAACAAATCTATGAATGTCCGGTATAAAATTAGGGCAGTATGACGGTCGCCAGGATGTAGATTTATCGCTCGTTATATTCGTATAGTTATGTCGAAGTTTCCTGTTTTATATCATGTGCGGAATTTGTTGACTTTCGCAATATCCCTTGTATTAAATAGATGAAAGAAGGAAATGAATGTAACTCGTTGGTGAAGATTCCCTTTATTTGTACTTTGAAAGTTGTGGCATACCATCATTATCGTGTACGATATTTAGATGCCAACTTATCCTTACTTATGTATGTTATATACACTCACCTTATGTACCTATTTAAACATCGTGCTTCACTCGCAAACATTGAAGGTAAACATGTAAACTGGAGACAAACAGAAAATGTTGTCTGTTGTTTTTATTTGCTTTAAATTGCTATGCACTTTATAGTTAAAAGTTCATATTAATTCTTGGTATGTATTAGAGCAACGAAAAACATACATTTGTATTGCATTGTTTGTTTTACAGGAAATAGCGGAATTTCGTAAGTTGCTAAAATATCTAAACGACGAGTTAGCGCCTGCAGTGTGCCTGTTCACGATAGTGAACGTGTCGTGGGCGGCGTCCGGCCTCATGTGGCTGCTCGACCTCGACAAGGTGGACACGGAGACGGAACCCATCGCCGGCATCAGCATCCTTAACCAGTCGCTCTGGTTGGCAGCTGTTATAGCGCCATTTGTGCAAGTAAGTTAATATTGAATATGATAGGTAGTAAACGATCACCATTAATTGACGTCATAGATCAGTTAACGTTAGTTGATTAACGTTATCTAATCTATGACGTTGATCAGTATTTGCAACAGAAGGGAATTATAAACGCATTGCCAACCTTAAGAGAATGCTCTGATTTTTAAAGATCTTGTGTCGCATTGATACGCAAAACGTGGCACTTTATTCCAACGAGTGTATTCGAGCTGGTTATATCCTTATTATATCAAAGGTTAAAATATTTGTATGTTTGGTCGCAGGCGGCGCGCCTGTCGTACGAGTGTCGCCGCACGCAGTCCGTGGGCCACGAGCTGTGCGTGCGGCCGTTCCTGCACCAGGACACGCCGCACGAGGAGATCAGCGCGGTGCTGCTGTACGCGGCCACGCTGCAGCTGCGCGCCAAGCTCTTCTGCCACCCAGTCGCCGGAAAGTACGTCTGTCTCGCTCTCACACTCGCGCTCGTCGCACTCTTCGCACTCGGCATGTGTCACTATTTACAATGATTCAAAGATCATTTAATTCGATTTAAATTATCTTGTAATTATAATTAATGGTAAATAAAACTATTTTTGATTTTTCAATGTCTTTTATTCATTCACAACATTTAAATTTGGCACTACGTATATGGTAATTTATTTGAAACATGCAATAATTATCTCGTATATACTTCAATAGCTTTTCTATTAATTGAATAAATAAGATTAATAATATTTTTCATTAAAATAAATTAACATTAACAATCTTAAAAATAAATATTTTAAATAAAAAATCATTTACAAAGTAACAAAATTATCACAATAGTAACGAGTTTATAAATCTATAACTCAATAACATATTCAGAAATTAAGATAATTTTATCTACCGTAAATATCTTTATATACTTGTATAATATCTTCCAGAATATATTCAATTCAATAATTTAGATTAACAACTATTCTAACACTTTAGAAACATCTAATAATAATATATTTTTTCTTCGAACTAAAAATGCTTCACAACAAAATATATTCAAATAGGCAACATCGAAAGGTTATTTTTCTATGAATCGATTATTTTTAAATATAGGTATGTGTTTTGATGAACGAGTCTATGATAGACTCTACTAAAATATTAGGCTAGTGACGTAAATGAATGATTTGAAATACGATATTTTGTTAAATGCAATTTTTCTTAATCTTATATCGACTTCTACATTATTTATGTAGATAGTCAAGACTTTGTGCATACTTTATGCGTAAAGTCAAAGTCCGATTTCACCCTGTATAAGTATAGTAGGGCGTCGGGCGCTTCACTTGTGTCTAATCATTACAAATGTTTTAAATCTGTCAAGTATTTTCGTTCGTTACTACTTTAAGATGTTCAAAAAGCTGAAATACACAGATATTAATATCTTTTATAATATTCTACAACTAAAAAACATATTGGAGTACTTATTTCACTTAAATATCCTAACATGCAGACATCTAAATGTTTCGAATAAAAATTCATAAAGATTCTGGTTGTTTGTCATAGGAA